GTCGGTGAAGCTAACATTCGGTTCAACCTTGGCGTCGGGTTCGAAGCCACCGTTCAGGTCCGGTGACGGAATAAGAAATGAAGCTTAAATGAATTTATCCTGACGGCTAAGAAAGCTGAATTCCTCGTCATGGAATTTCTACATGCTCCTTGTACGTGACTCTTCAATACGTCATAAGGTTTGTACCAAATTACCCAACTAAACTTGTACCCAACTACCTTTCCCATTACAACCCATTAACAACTTCCATCCCACCTCCCTCACGCTTAAATTCAAGAACTTCAGCCGTTTCGTATTTTCTACGGTTTGTACGGGCCGTTACTTCAGAAGATATGTCCGCCTATCAACGGTGCAAAAACCTTTTTGATAATTTCATCCTCTTCGGCCGCCCCACTTGGACCGTCCATTTTTGGTTCGGCCTTTTATGGCCTTTACCTTCGATTCTGCGAAAAGATGACAAAAAATGTGTGTGCCTGCAAATGAGTATAAAGTGTAGTATATATGGGCTCCAAGTTATGTGTGGAGCATGTTGCGTCCGAATGTGAAGAGGGATGATTCAATTACATCCCAGTTCAGAACAATTTACGAGAAAGGGCCCCATCCGGAATAGAGTGTGTCTCTTATCGTAAGGGAGGGTAGTGTTCAGAAAGTGCAACATGTTAATGACCTCGGCATATGCACGAGATCAACGGTGTCAGTTCCGAAGTACAGCTATACACACACACATACACACACACACACACACACGCACACACACACACACACACATACACACAGGGTTATCGCAAAAATGCGTTTTTGCTGCCTGTTGCATCATTCTAGTGCTGCAAGGCAAAAAACACAAAAACTTGCGCTTACTTCCAAATTGGTTGTGGTTCATAAAAGTAATTGAGATTTGCGATAATTTAGTGACATCACCACACAGTTTCCTCACAAACTGAACATTGTATCAACAATAAAATAAAAACTTCATTGTTAAAATAATTGGCCCTTCGCTAATCAATTTTGAAAGAAATGAGCAATTTTGGAAAAAAATCAAACCTTCGAAAACTAGCAATTCATGACGTTTTTTCCTTTGTGTTTCTAGATTTTCGAAATTTCACTAAAATTCTTTCAACAATAATATTATACAAAAAAACAAATAAACGACGTAATGGTGGCAGTGGTGCTAAATCCTTATCTTTCTCCAGCAACGGTATCATCCTGAAAAAAAAAAACAGCAAGCTTCAAAACAAATTAATTGTCGACAAAAAAACGACCAGAAATCGAATATTGCGCGAAAGTGAAGTGATGATATGCAAACAGTTAGAAAAATAAAAAAAAAACTGTGAGGCTAATTTTTTTTAATAGTTTTTTTTAAAAAAAAGCTTTTTTCTAGTTTTATTTGATTTTTTAAAAAAGAATTTCTTAGTTTCCTCTTTTTTTAATTTTTTTTTTAGTTCTATATTGGTAAAAAAGTTCATACCAAAAAAGTATGAGATATTACAGCATGGGATTTAATGAGTTTAAAATAAAATAAAAAATCTCAAAATTCGTTTTAAAAAGATTAGTTCCGGACATTCATTTTTTCTACGAAAAATTTAAAATATGCAAATTAATAATATTTTGTTTTTTTTAACGCAGCAAAAAATAAATATTTTGGAGCAGGAAATAAGAAAAAAAAAAAAGGAAAAA